TGGCTTGAAACCCAATTCTGTCAACAATCTTCTGATCCATAGTAATTCACAAACTCCGTGAGCCATTCCTCGATACTCTGCTTCAGCACTAGGCCGAGAAACCACATTTTGTTTCTTACTCCGCCAAGTGACTAGGTTACCTCCCACAAACGTGAAGTAACCTGAAGTAGAGCGTCTATCAGTAATAGAGCCAGCCCAATCAGCATCTGTATATCCCACAACTTCGAAATCTTTATTTTTTGCGAACATTAATCCTTTCCCAGGTGCTGACTTTAAGTATCTTAAGATCCGATCAACTGCATTCCTATGTGACACACTAGGTGAATGCATAAACTGACAAACCACACTCACAGCATATGCAATATCTGGTCTTGTGTGGGCTAAATATATCAACCTTCCAACAAGGCGCTGTTACTGTTCCTTATTGGTTGGTTCTTGATCCATATCTTCACATAACTTCTGATTCATCTCGATGGGTGTATCAACAGGTTTGCATCCAAGCATTCCTATTTCAGTTAGTAGATCTAATACATACTTCCTTTGAGACAGACATATACCAGTTGTGGATCTGGCTACTTCAATTCCTAGAAAATACTTCAGATCACCTAAATCCTTCATATCAAATTCCTGAGACAAATACTTTTGCAGTTTTATTTTCTCACCTGTGTCGTTTCCAATTACGACTATATCATCCACATACACAATTAATGCAGTAAGGCTTCTTCCATCACGCTTCAAGAATAAGGTGTGATCTGCGTTACTCTGTATATATCCAAAATTCTTCATGGATTTAGTGAATCTGCCAAACCATGCTCTGGGGGATTGCTTCAACCCATACAGTGACTTTCTGAGTTTGCAAACTTGATTCTCCTTGTCATGAGCTAAGTTACAACCTGGTGGTAAGTCCATATATACTTCTTCTTCCAAGTCTCCAGGTAAGAATGCATTTTTTACATCAAACTGATGTAATGGCCAATCGAGATTTGCTGCTAGAGACAGAAGGACTCTGATTGTTTTAATCTTGGCTATTGGGGCAAAGGTCTCTTGGTAGTCAATCTCATATCTTTGTGTGTACCCCTTCGCCACCAATCTAGCTTTATATCTTTCAATGGATCCATCTGCTTTGAGTTTCACAGTATAAATCCATCTGCATCCCACTGTCTTCTTTCCATGAGGTAATGGCACGAGTTCCCATGTGCCATTCTTCTGGATAGCTCGCATTTCTTCATTCATAGCTTCTTTCCAGTTTGGGTCTTCCAGTGCTTCAGTTACACTGTTGGGAATAGGTATGTCAGCCAACTGCTTCACAAAGTGTACCCGTGACTCTAATAATCTGTTGAGGGATACATAATTATTGATGAGATATTTCCCTTTTGCATTAAGATCTGCTTCGTAGTGAACTGGAGGTTTACCACGGTTCTTCTGTTTTGGAATCTGATATGCAGGCTATGTGCCTTCTGAAATTAAATTATCATGGGATATTTCATTAATGTTATAAGTTTCAGGTAGAGAAGTTACCTGAATGACGTCCTCAACAGGTGATTGGTGTGGTATTGGAGCTGAAGAAGTCTCTGGAGCGGGCAAAAACTCGTCAATGTTCTCGTCATAAGTTTGATGGTAGGGAGATGACTGAAGTGGTTCAAGTGGAGGCCAATTTCTGGGGAGCGACCGGTCGCAGGTGTCAGACGATCGGTCGCTTTCAGGCATATTCATTGGTGACCGGTCGGCGACAATATGCCACCGGTCACTTTTAGGCAGATTTTCGTGCTACCGGTCATTTGTGTCTGGCGATTGGTCATTTGCATTGGGCAACCGGTCGTTGGTGTCCTGCGACCGGTCGTTTTGAGGCTGTAACGAATCTGGAAAAAATGCTGTAGGAAAAATTTCTGAAATTTGAGAAGTGTTGGCATCGCGATGCTCCTCCTGTACGGCTGAAAAATAGAGATCGTGTTCCCGGAAAGTCTAGGAGGATGATAACATCGGTAGCCTTTCTGATGAGGCACATAACCAATGAAAACACATTTTTCAGCGCAGGGATCCAATTTGCTGCGTTGGTGATCATGTAAGTGGACAAAGACCACACAACCAAAAATCCGGGGTTCCAGGTTTGGGGTAGGAGGTATTTAGGGTTTAGGGTTTAGGGGTAGGAGGTATTTGGAGATGGTGGTATAGTGTTTGAAGGGGGGTTTGGAAATTGAGGTAACTGGAGGGGATCCGATTAATAAGGTATGCTGCAGAGAGAACAGCTTCCCCCCAAAAGGATCGAGGCATATGGGCACCAAAGAGAGAGGCACGAACTACTTCCAATAAGTGTCTATTCTTTCGTTCAGCCACACCATTCTGTTGGGGAGTGTAAGGACATGAGCGTTGATGTATGATGCCATGATCTTGAAAGAACTGATTCAGATCATGGTTGAGAAATTCGCCGCTATTATCGGAACGAAGAATCTGAATTCGAGTATGAAATTGAGTCTCTACCATGGGATAGAACTGTTGAAATTTGGAACTGACTTCCCCTTTGGTTTGGAGAAGGGAACCCCAGGTCATACGTGTGCAATCATCGATACACGTGACAAACCATCGAGCGCCCCTTGGAGTGGTAATTCTAGCTGGGCCCCAAATATCAGAATGAACAAGAGAAACGGGAACCAGACTTTTAGTTGAGCGTAAGGGAAACGGAACACGATGGCTCTTGGCCAGTTCACAGATGTCACACTGAAAACTGGAAATATCTAACTTGGAAAATAAGGAAGGAAATAGCTTCTGTAAGTATCCAAACGAAGCATGTTCAAGACGGCGATGCCATAACCATACTTCGGAAGTGTGCTTCTCAACACTCGCACCCCCAATTTTGTAAGCTTGACTGAGGCTAGCTTCACTATCAGATGCCAAGTCCAGATAGTAGAGTTTGCCCCTCCTAGTATCACAACCAATCGTCTTGCTGCTGAGAATGTCCTGAAAAACACAATGAGTAGGCCAAAAGGTTACAGTACAATTCAAAGTCGTAGTAATTTAGGCAACAGACAAGAGATTATGATGTAAGGATGGAACAATCAACACATAATCCAAAGTGAGGGAGTCAGAGAGAGAGAGAGAGGGAACCCTCCCCAATTACTGGGGAGGGGGTACCATTGGCATTAGACACCACCGATTGAGAAGACGGTGTATGAGAGTAAATTTGTCAAGGATCAAAGGTCATGTGATCAGTGGCTCCAGTGTCAATGACCCATGTGTGTTTCTTTGAAGAACTATGCAAAACATAACCTGGGGCACCAGTGGTGGCAATGTTGGAGGATGAGACGATATCCATGGCAACGGAAGGATTTAAGAATAAGATAAAAAAGATGTGTTTAGGGTTTCGGGATAAGAGTATATGAGGATGTGGGTATGAAGATCTGAATCTGAATCTGTAAATATGAGGAATATGATATGAGGAATTTGATTTAGGGTTTGTGGTTCAAGAAATTTGATATGAGGATTTAGGGTTTCTGTCTGAAGAACTTTGATATGAAGATGTAGAGACAACCGAGTATCGATTGCTTTGATACCATGCTAAAATATGAATATGGGTTTTGAATATGTTAGGTTCTTATTTTATTCTTCTCCATAAGGAGGTATATATAAGAGTTTACATGAGTGCTTTATAAGGAATTAGATATAATAAAGAAGTATGAAAGTATCTCATAATTATACAATGATTTGACAAATATATATAAAAAAAAGGAAAGTAAATCCCTTAATTAATCAAGGAAATAAATCTCATTGATTAATTAGGAGACTCACGTCAACAAATTAGGATTGATTTGGTTTGCCTTAATTTCTATTTGGATTATTGTTAATTTGTAAATAATTTTCATTTTATTTTTAATAAAATCACTCGTAGTTCCTAGGTTTGAAATAAAAAAAACAAGAACAATATTAGGTTTTCCATAAACTAAAAGTCATTTTCAAAGAAAAACCTTCCTATTCATTGCATTGCCAGCAGTCTAGTCAGCTGCTCAGTCAAGGGAACGTTCTCCACACAAGTACTTTACTTATTTTATTGAAACTTATCGATGAAGGCTTAAACGGTGCATTTCTACTGATTTTAAAGGATAAAAAACTTTGCAGAGGATAAAAAACTTTGCCGGTTGAACATAAGAACTCTACCGAGGATAAAAAACTTTTTTTCAGCTTTCATCAATGGCAGGTATGTAAATTTACTTGATTATTCAAGATCTTCTCCTTGATGTGATTCTATTTGTGTATGCCTAAAGAATTTATGTAATTATTTTACAATAGTAACTTACATTTATTGAAAGATTTTGGAGTATTTCCCCAAAGTTCACTTATTTGAAGATTCATTTTTATCTTTGCATGTATATCAGATGGATCTCGAACTGAAGCTGAACAACTGAACAAGAGCCCCAAGGAAAAGTCTGGAGAAAGAAATGAACAAGAGCTTTCGCAAAATGAAAATAGTGAGACCTGGAAGATTCATAGGAATGAAATCAGCTCATCTGAAGGCACAGACGTCGGGGTTTTCGACTTCGGCAACAAATATCATGCAGGTCCTATTGATGGTGTTGATGCAAGGAAGGGTCGAAACTACGACATTGAGGGTAATAAAATCGATTCAAACAAAGGCAAGCGTGTGGGGATTGGAAAATTTGGCAACAACTACTCCATGACGACCGCATCGTTTTTTCTGGGTGGGCTTATTGTTCTAGTTTTTGCTATATGTAAGCGAAGCTAGCTGTAAAAACAAGAAGGAAATATAAATAAGATAAAAAGGTAAGGGGCTGCAGAATAAACAGGCTGGAATTTCCAAGAAGAAAAAAAAACTGAGATGTAAGGTTTTGGAGATTTATGGCCACTAGAACTCATACACTCGAACTTTTCCCTTAATCTGAATGTTATTTCTCTTATATTTCTGTATTTCTTTTCTTCTTCTTCTACATGCCATCAATATATTAATGCTGAGTAAGTTTTTTGTTTCTTCTTTGTCTACATGCGATCAGTGCTGTTTCCTCTTGGTCTAGCTTTTTTCTTTAATACATATGAAGCAAGGATACTCTTATTTATAAATTATAATAGGTTGTTGGATACGCCGTTGGAAACGATATGCATGGTATATTCTCCGATACGAGTCGGATACGTATTGGACGGACTTACAGAGGTGCAAGGACGTGCAGCTGCACCTCCCCTCGTCGGAAAAAGCTATGGAGTTGCCGGATGTTGCCCCTTTGAAAGTGCCCACCAACTGTTTGAGCAAATGACTGAGTGACCATCCTTTCACTTCTTTGCTGTGCGCGCATCTCTCTATTTTTAAAAATAATCCTAGCCAAAACGATGCGTTTTGGACCAGGCCAAATATTTGAAAAAAAAAGAAAAAGAAAAAGAAAAAGCAAGATGAGGAAGAAACTTACCTTCCACGCAGAGGAGTCTTGACAGAAGACTTTAATTTGATTTTAATAATAAAAAAAAGGAAGCCTGGAAGAAGCCTGGCTTGGGCGTGGCGTTGAAGGGGAGTAGTCTCTTGTTGATGCAGCAAACCCATCCCTCTCCACCAAGTTGCAAGTTCGACTTCGAATGTATTTTTTTTTTGGGTTTTTTCCTTCTGTTTTTGTTTAATAAAAAAAAATATGTCTTTCATTATTATTATTATTATTATTATTATTATTTTCTGATTTATTTGTTTAATTAATAATTTGATTTGCATTTTGATTAGATTAATTAATCTACAATTAGCACACATATTTTACCATAAATTATAAATTACTATTGTAACAACTCTCTCTTTGCCCTGCGTATATGAATAATGGGAAGATTGGATTTTGTTTTGTTGAGGAAGGTGGGGGTTGGATTTTCATTGGCTGGTGATGACGAGGTGGGGAAGCTGGGGATTGGATTTTTTGTGGTTGGAATGAGGAAGAAAAAGAATTGATATGCATAGAGAGCGGAAGAAGAAGCCCACCCGACCCCAATATCACCACACCCAACCCCTTCCTGTAAGTTATTTCATGTCTTTTATGGGGTGAGATTTCTGTAGGTCGACTGCTAGAGAAGGGACCTCTATTTATATGCATTTACTTAAGTTTCCTGCCCATTAAAAAATACTTAAGTAATCCAGATTGCATTAGGATAGTGTGTTTCAATCCATATGGAATTAGGAATTCTCTAAGTTCTTGTTTCTTATTAAAACACTCTTTAGAAAAAGAACTACAGATAATGTTTGAGTCTGCACTCCTAGATCAGTGTGAATTGCCAAATCCTTATAGGATTAGAAGACCACATTCACGTAAGACAAGTTATTGTCTTATAGTCTCCCACTTGGTCAATAATCACAAAGCAAATTTCACTGATCACTTTAAAGCCTTGTGGAGTTTCAACTAAACAAAATTCCCACCAAGCAACTGTCATTTTTGGAAAATTATAAGGAATTATCGAGGCTTATTGAAAATACAATCATCAAAACCTTTATAATCACACTTAAAATTTTCCAACATTACATGAAGCTTCGATCAAAATTAAAACTTCAGAGTAATCATGACAAAACTTGGAAGTGCTTAATTATATCATGACTACTCTATTGTCCCTGCAAATGACTACCAAGGTCTTATCTTTGAACAAACAAAGACACAACTGTCATGAACACAAAACCTGTACAGCTTCTCTTTATGCTAGCATTGCTGCCATAAATGTGTTCAAGCAATTATAAATACAATTCCAGTAATTAAACTGAATATAAAACTTTATTAACCTCAAGTCTGAAATCATCCATTGAAACTCTACCAGTTAAGCAAATATTTGAAACAGAAACAAAACTAATTAACAAATGTTGAACCAAAAACCAAACTCCCACTAATGCTCCCATTGTTTTAGCCACTCGATTCAGTTGTTAATCCCATACTAATCACATGTCTTTAGGCAATCCTTTAGTGAGTGGATCAGCAATCATGTCGTTAGTGCTGATATGATCTAATGTAGTGTATCATCTCTTATTTTCTCCTTGATAGTAAAGAACTTAACTTCTAGGATTCTTGATGCTTTGGTCCTTTTGTTCCCTTTTGCAAACAGAACTGTTGCACTATTGTCATTCCATGTTGTATAGGTCTGTCAATTGACTCAACCACATTTAGACTAGAGATAAAGTTCTTTAACCACATAGCTTGAGAGCTTGCTTCATAACAGGCTAGAAATTCAGCCAACATAGTTAAAGCAACTGTGAGAAGTTGTTTAATGCTTCTCCATGATATTGCAGCTCCTGGAAATCGAAAAACAAAACCTGTTAGTATTGTTTATGTGATTGGCAATTTCCTAGAGACAAATTAGACTTAGTATAGATGGCAAATTAGTTGTGATTGTGGCTATCAAAATTCCAAGATATGCTCTGAAGGCTGATATGTCAATCAACGTTCACTAAGGTAAATTCTTCATTTGATCATACATTCTGATTGCCGTATTTTAAGCATTATTTCAAACTCACAATCTGATTAACATTATGATTAAAGAAGACTTTTTATTTTTAGAAAGATTGATTTATTTGATAAATTGCTTTCCAATTTTAAACATTAAAAAGTCTTCTTTGATTGGAAATCAATTAGTCTGCTTTTGAAAAACTAATCTGTTGATTAGGAACTAATTGATTTTGTTTCTAGTTTTGAAAACCATTATAAAAAGCAAGGCTTGGTTTTCATTCAACACAACTTTCAACATCGAGAGTATATCTTGAGTTTTTATTCACAAAAGAAAGTTGTTGTGCTTTGTTGTTAATAAGGATAAATCATCAAGAGCAAGATTATCTTGGTGATATGTCCTTGCATTCATTTGCATCCATTTGCATAAGTTACACAGTTCTCATACCTCCGGTGAGCTTGGATCGATTGTTTCCAGAATCGGATTCAACATAAGGAGAGAAGGAGAAATCCTGCGAGAAGTTGAGTTACAAAGAAGTTGGTACGTTGTCTAGAGTGTGTAGGACAAGTTTGTATACTTCGTGTAATCATCGTTCTATAGTGGATTTTCCTTGGACTATCAGGTCCCGTGGATTTTCCCCAGAGGTGGGGTTTTACCACGTAAAATACCTTTTGTGCTTTTCTCTGCTTTTACGTTCTGAACTGCACAGGATTGATACACCGTATCAATCCCATTGGCGTGTTTTATTTGTATTATTGTAATACTCCTAATTACTTAAAACACAGACTTTACGCTTTAAGTGTGTTAAGCCATCCTATAGGTATTTTCAAAACCTGATGTTGATTTTAGATCATCTTTGCATCCTGCAAAATCTGCATATGCAAAACCTTCCAATTCCAGTCTGTCACTTCTTCTAAAAACCAACTTATAACCCTTTGTCCTCTGCAGATATCACATAGATTGACCGATAGGATTTCGCCTCAACCCACTTGGTAAAATAGTCGGTCGCCACTAGAATCCATGCATTCGGGTTGGATGTAGCTGGGTAGATTTTGCCAATGATATCCACGGCCCATCCTCTGAACGGCCACGGTTTGGTAATTGGGTGAAGGCTTTGGGCGGTACCCTTTGTATGGGGCCGTAGATTTGACACTTAATGCACCCTCTTGCATATTCTATGCAATCCTTCAAAATGGTTGGCCAATAGTAACCATGCCTTCGAACCAACCACCTCATCTTGATGCCCGACTGATGAGCGCCGCAAATATCTTCATGAGACTCGGCCATGATCACTCGGGTGTCCTTGGCACTGGGACATAAAAGTAAGAGGCCATCGAATCCCTTTCAGTACAGTTCATTTTGGTAAATTAAATACCACCAAGCCCAAAAATGTGTAGTCTTTTCATGGTTGCCGGAAGGGTCGCGCAGGTACCTGACTATAGGGTATCGCCAGTCTGCTTCGGTCGTTTCAACTTCGTTGGTGATTTCGGCTGAAGACACTCACACCGGCATTCCCCATTCAGCCAGAGCCGGCAAGTTGCGCCTCTCAATCTTTATCACACGGTCACGGTCGCCATCAAGAATGTTCACACCCGACGCCACCTGGGCCATTTCATTGGCCTCATAGTTTTTGGCATGCGGCACATGGACAAATGAAATTCTAGAAAACTCGTCGACCGCGTTGAGGGCCGTTACATAATACATAGTCAAATTCTCGCTCGTGCATTGATATTCCCCAGTCAGCTGATTGATCACTGTTGCGTAGATACAGCTGCACCAAAATGGATTAAGCTGCATCCTCAACTTATGATACTGGCAAGTGCACGAGCCGTTCGGTAGTATAGCGTATGTAAGTGCGAGGTCGATCCCACGAGGATTGGTGATTGAATGATTCAATTCATTTTCCCTACACAAAATAGAAATGAAAAAGAAAGGAAATAAATAAAACAAGGAAGAAAGAAAATAACTAACTCAAGTAGATAAGTTCCCAAGTTCAATTAGATTAACGGATTGATTCTAGCTAATGTATGATTAAGCCATGGTGTGTGGTCATAACCTTGTGTTCCTAATTCCCTAATTTGATCATTTGTTGTCTAACCTAAAATTAAGCATTAGGAACCCATTAAGCATAGAAGAACAATTTAAACAACCAAGCATGTATCTAATCCCTGTTGTCGAATGTCCATACATACTCTTCCTATTCATAGTTCAATTCGAATTAAAGCATGGTGTATACTCTTAATTCAAACCAAGATACCTAACATGCAAGCCTAAATGGTGATCAATCATTCAAACTAGCATATTAACTTATAAGCATAATGAATAAGAACATGAATCATGAATCAAACTTGAAACTCCAAACTTATAAACCCAGAATATTCATGTTAGGTTACATCGAAGCCCTAGTTATGGATTTAGCTACTCATAATGGAAAAGAAACTAAAACAAAAATGGGAAAACATAATGAATGCCATAAGAGTAGAAAAACCCGTTTCTGAAGTTCTTGTAGTGTCCAATGCTTCTCCAAGAGCTTCTCCACATATAGAAGGATGTATGAAGGATATGGAGGTGATTTGAGATG